GACCCTTTAATACAGTTCCTCATGTTGTGGTGACCCCCAACCATAACATTATTTTCGTTGCTACTTCATAACTGTAATTTTGCTACTGTTATGAAATGGGCGACCCCTGTGAAAGGGTCTTTTGACCCACCCCGCCAGGGGGTCACCACCCACAGGTTGAGAATGGCTGTCCTAGTTCCAGGAGACAGAACTGCAACATCAGAGATGGCAGATGGCAAGTAGCAGCAGCAGAGAAAGGGTGGCAGCAGAGCCAGGAGACTGAAGTGAGTCTGCACGGTGGGTTTCCTGGCCCATGGAGCAAGACAGCTACAGTGGGCATACCAGCCTACAAAGCAAGAGCTGGGAGAGCAAGAGGCCTGCTGGTAGAGTGGTGAGCCTCCTCCAGGGACTTGTAGGTAGAACTAGGCTGCTGAGCCCTAGAGAAGTGGTTTACTGGAACTTTCAGGTGTGACAGATCTGTCTCCTAGATCTAGGAAGTTCTCAGTGCAAAAGGCTCCAAGAGATGGATGTGCTCTACTCTTGGATCTTCTTTCTTAATGGTAGTGAGCTGTTCCCTCTGCTCCAGCACTGGCTGTTTTAAGTCTAGAGAGAAGGCAAAACTGACCATTCCCTCATTAGGGTTCCCTGTGGGGTACCTCCAGGCACTTGAGAGCTAGACTCACAACCCACTGAGCAGGAGGCTAGGCTCACTTGCAGTGCTAGACTCACAAGGCACCCTGGACAGGAGGCTTCCTGGAGTGGGGTGCCTCTGGGCACTGGCCAGGAGAGATAGAGCTTTGTAACCTTTTCCAGAGCAAGGCAGAAGCCAGGCCCAAGCAGAGTTGAGGATCAAGAGAGAAGACTGTCCTCCGGGACTCAGAGAAGCCCTCACTGCCCATAAGGAGTTGAGAGCGCTGCCCTGCAGTGAAGATTTTGTTTCATGTTTCACGGCCCTTATACCGAGTTGTAACCTACTACTTCCAGAATAGACCCTATAATCATGAGTAAGGTCTGTGAGTTGTGTGCCCATTGCAAGTATAGAACCCTACAAAGGAGTGTGTGCCAACTGATGTGCCAAAGGAAGGCCAACTGATATCAGAACTGGTAAAATGGTTGTAGGTAGAGGTCTATTGACCTCCACCTAATAGGGATCAGCCTTCAGCTTTTGAGCTTGATTCCCTTTCCTTTTGTGAAATTACAGGTCAGATGCTGCTGACACCAGGCCTTTTTTTACTGTTAAACACACACACACACACACACACACATGAAAATAACACAGGTAAAGTGCATAGTACACTGCACTTATTCAGTTTACTGTAGGTTTTAGTGTTATTTTACTTGCCCTTAAATGCCCTTATGGTTCATGCTTAACCTTATTTTTCAAATCAGAAATAGAGAACTATAACAAACTTTTAGTCATGACTTTTATATTAATATTATAGCCTATGGATTTGATATTATTCATTAATTTTATATATAATGTTTAGTTCAGTGCACCCATTAATGTCAAGAAATCCAAGTCTGTAGAAGTGAGAAAGATAAGCACTTCTTTAATGAGAAAAGTAGCAATTTTTAATACCTTCCACTAACAGCAGACATGACAGGTATCCTTCACACATAATGTAACTCCCAAGAGTCTATTAATGAAAAAAAAAAAAAAAAAGTCTATTAATGTTCGGTGACAAACTCCTTAAAGCTGATAAAGATTATAAAGAGTATGATACACTTCTTGATATTGTATTCAAAAAAGTACAGTGAGTACATGAATAATGAAATCAGACCAATATCTCAAAATATTCTTTAATAAAAATATTGATAATCCAAATTTTTAGGCTTCATTTCTTAGGTGAGCCTTAATTGATAATGGACCTCTATCTTTAGGTAGAAAGGCAGGAAGTTCTTATTTATAGTTTAATATTATAATACACAGAATTTATAGATTAATGGTCATGAGTATGAACAGTGTTAATACAACTTTTACAGTATTAGAGCATTATTTACAGCAACATATTAGATCTGCTAAGTAGTGTGTTACAAATATAATGTCCACAGCATTATTTTTGTTCAAGGTAAAGGTATTAAATGTACTTAAGTAGTGCAGTGACTAATGTGCTTGGCTGCTAACTGAAGGGTCAGTGGTTCAAACCCACCAGCGATTCCCCAAGCGAGAAAGCTGTGGCAGTATGCATCTGTAAAGATTTATAAACCTTCTGAAGCTTTACTCTTGTCATACAAGGTCCCTGGGAGAAAAGATGGGGCAATGACTGGAGATGGACTGCAGTGAGTGAGTTCTTTTATTTTATAGGGTCTCAAAGGGTCAAAGAGTCAGAAATGACTTAACAGACATAACCGTTTTAATCATTCATAGAAGATTTTCTGAAAATCATAGTATCACAATTTTACTCTGTCAAAATAAGAGTACACTGTACTGCTCACGCGCTTCACATAGAAAAAGTCTGACATGGGAAGAAAAAGGACATATAGGACAAAAATTACAAGGTACCCTTTCACATGAATTTATGGAAATTTTAAAGTACTAAGTTCCATCCCAAGGAAACACCCAACTTTCCCAAAGCTACCAAAAAGATGACTGTCATACAACCTCCAACTGTAGCACAAGCCTGTCAGGAGGGGCCATGTTACAAGAGAAGTCGTAAAGTACTGCTAGAAAGCCATGCATACTTTTATTACACAAAATATCAAAACACAAAGCTATTGTTTCTCAACACATCCTGCTTCCAGGTCTATACACTTCTAAAGGCAAAGGAATCTCCAAAGAATTCACCACTCTTTGATTTGCAAGTTCAAGTGGCAATATTGGCCACTTGTGTTGGATACTTGTGTTCCTTTTCAATGTTCTTGAGTTTGGGGAACAAAAAGTCTGGAGGAAAATGATCAGGGTTACAAAGTAGATAAAGTATCCCGATGAAATTCCT